TATTAAACGCGATTGAACGGTTAATTTACGGATGCGCGAACGCCGATCGAGATATCGCTGCGCGGTTGGTCTGGGCGTCGGTGGGGTCTCTGATAGGGAAAGGGAATCTACAGTTGAACGAGACCCGAGATGGAATTAAAATTTTTAGTTCGATATAATATTTGACCGTCACCAGTTGAGAATAATAAGCCGCACCACAAATCCGTTAGGTAAAAAACCTTGTTTCGCTTTTTACGTTTTATATTGAGACCGTATTTCATTTTAAAAAACCGAATTAGCTTGTAGGAATAGGATAAAAGATTTAATTTGATTTCATTAATAAATAATAGAATTTATTTCTTGAGAAATAATACCGTTTTTATAGATAGTGTGGAGTTAAAAGATTTTAAATTTGATTTCATTAATAAATATTAGAATTTGTTTCTTGGCAAGAATAATACCGTTTTTTATAGATAGTGTTGAGTTAAAAGATTTTAAATTTGATTTCATTAATAAATATTAGAATTTATTTCTTGGCAAATATAATACCGTTTCTTTAAATGGAATAGAATTTGATTTAAATAATAAATGATAGGATTTAATTCTGTAATATTGTAAAACCGGGGATTTAGACTTTTGATCTTTAGTCTGTATTAAGAAATTATTTTTTTCTTTCTTTTTGGTAGGTTAAATCGGGAATTAAATTTGATTTTATTGATAAATACTTTTGTTTAGTAAGTGCCGCGTTGTAATTAAGTTGGGAATATTTATAAACGGAGTTTTCGAGGAGACGTTTTCCCTCTTTTAATAGTTTATTCTTTTACCGTATATTTGAATAATCTTAAATAGCATCCTGTCCTTGTCTGAACGGGCTCGTGATGACGATCAGTTCACTCTTGGAGTAGGTGCTATCCGCGTTATAATTTTTTTAGTTAATCTGTAAACCGCAAAAAATAATTTTAAATAGTATCCTGTCCTTTTTTAACGGGCTCGTGATGACGATCAGTTCACTTTTGGAGTAGGTACTATCCGCGTTAGTAATTTTCTTCCCTCCGATAATAGTTTGTTTTTCTCTTTTACCGTCAATTTACATAACTTTAAATAGTATCCTGTCCCTGTCTGAACGGGCTCGTGATGACGATCAGTTCATTCTTGGACTAGGTGCTATCCGCGTTAGTTTTCTTATCCCGTTTGTATTCTTCATTTTTTTTTGTGCAAATTGCAAATTAAAAAAAATCTTAAATAGCTTCATTACCCTGTCTGAGCGGGCTCGTGGTGACGATCAGCTCATTCTGGGATAATAGGCTATCCCGGGTATAAATTTATTTTTTTTCATCTCCGGATATTTACTATAAGTAATTCTTTCGCGTTCCTGTCTCCTCGCACTCTCTATGACCGTTTTGATAATTCTTCCTTACCGAAATAGTAAAGTATCTACATTTTAGTTTGATTCTCGATACAACAGTTAAATAGTTAATTTTTGCTACGACCGTTCTTAGAATTTTTCCTTACCGAAATGGGAAATTATGTTTTAGTTTAATTACCGACTTAATAGTCAAGTTAATAATTTTTTTTGCGACCGAAACATTCATTTTATTTTAATTTAATTTTGACGTCTGATTGAGACTAGTCGGGATTCAATGCCGTCCGTTTTGTTTCTTTATTTTTTTGTTCAGGGTTATATTGACTATCACTACAACTGGGGTGGGCGTTGAAATAATATATAATTTCTTTTTTTTTTGTTGTAAATAGTTCAAAACAATATATGTGTCAATGCTAACTTGCCGTTATACTGATTAATAATTCCATACTTTATATCCCCCTTGTATTTCAGCTAGTGATAAATTCTGTACCAGCCCAAGCAACGATTAAAGCCCGTTACTTGTGGCCTACTATTACCTGTGTCTAAGTGACCTTTGACCCCTGGAATTTTGCATCTCCATCTGTAGCTACCCGAGTACTTTCGACGGCGTTTCGAAAGTTTGTGGAGTAAACCATCACCAAAAATCTGGCGCTCGAGAACCGCTCGTAACCAGCGCGATTCGTAAGGAACCGTTTTCTCTGTGGCGAGAAAACCCCTTACAAAGGATAAATTATCTTGTTCACTAAACATAGAAAATAAGGTTCCCCAAGGATCTATTCTGGGCCCTTTATTATTTTGTATCTATACATCTTTATTCCCAGAATCACTAAAGTATTGCAATTTTCACCAATATGCAGATGATACTCAGATTTACCTTTCATTCCCTGCGTGTAAATTTGAAGAAAGCATCACCAAAGTAAATTCTGATTTGAATCTACTTTTTAAATTGTCTAATGACTATTGTTTAGATATAAATCCCTCTAAATCTCATATTTCATTGAAGTCAACAATGAAATATTGCCTAATACAAATATTGCAAAAAATTTGGGTTTATTCCTAGATACCGATCTTCGATTTTAAAAACACATTAATAATGTAATAAAAAAATGTATAAAAATTATTTATGTCAATAAAGATACCCTAGATTGTCGTTCTAAAATTGTATTATGTGAAACGCTTGTATTTTTTCACTTGAACTTTTGTGATTCAGTCTATGGACCATGCATTATTCAATTCAATAATCAGCATCTTCAACGTATTCAAAATACCTGCATTAGATTAATTTATAAATTTAAAAAAATCAACGAGTTTCTTATAAAAGGAATGAACTTAAGTTGTTGACGGTAAAACAAGCTCGTTTTTTGCATTCCTGTTGCCTATTAAAAAAAATAATTATCTAAAACACCTGCATAACTATATAATAAGATAAGATTCAGAAGCCTGAGTTGGGTAGTATCCGGATACTTCTGTATCCGGATACAGTATCCGGATACTTTATGTGTATCCGAAAGCTGTATCCGGATACTTTTCAAATTTTGTATCCGGTATCCGTATCCGTGACCAAATTTGTAAGTATCCGGATACCGGATACTCTTTTCGGCATTCGGATACTTTTAAATTATTTACCACAATCGTAACTAATCCAATCCATATTATCTGTATTAAAATATATAATCGAAATACTTTGAGCTACCCTGTATAATTAGAAATAAAATACGTATTTTTCAATATTACAATATTTCAGATACAATTGCAATAGGTACCTACTTAAATAAAAAAAGGTAAAATAATTATTTTATTATGATTTGTAGTTTTGTTTGGTACACCCTGTAAAATTTAAAATAACGCAAAAAAAATTCTCATCGCCAAGGATGAATTCGACTATTCACTCAATATACAGACGATCGGTATTCATCATTTTGTGGCACGTTTTTACAGGAAAAATCCTGCAAACCCTTGTCCGGTGTTAGCGTCGCGAACTTGTGGAGGTTCCATTAGCCCAGTGATGTTTCAGTTGGCAAAGACAAGAGACGATTGTTCCTGTGTTTTTATATAATGCAATATAACTAAACTTTCTGTATCAGTTTTAGTGGCTAACTATACGCAAAGGTAAGTAGGTGTAGGTACCTCTAATTTTTTGTTATGTAAAATGTCTAATTACATTATTAGTTCCCAAAATGTAGTCAAGAAAATAGATGTATGACGTTGTTGCTCATAATGTTACTGATCATGTGTTATTTATGTCTTCATCAACATCAATAAAGTATATAGATCTGACAAGATCAAATATACGAGCCTGCTTTGTCTGTGCCAGAACGAAACATTCAGCAATCTCTCACTCCTCCTCCTTTCGACGCCCTGGACTCTTGCCGAGTACCTCTCGTCGGAGTATCCATAAAAAATGGATTGTCGAATACATCTGACACTGACGAGAATATCGAAAAATTGTATAAACATGGTAAGTCGCGCCAATAACGAGTTTATTTCGTTAGATTTATATGGGCACAACGCTGGCTGGTTTTTGGCGCGGTTCAGGCGCGACTCGTTTTATTTACACGCACCTTTATGTTTTATTGTTCATTTTGTTTTAATGTTTTATATTCACAGAATCAAAATAATAAACAATTTATTGAGTAGTTTTTTTCCTGTTTCTATTATATCGCTTTCCATTTTCGATCATTTATTTATACCTAATATTGTTTATTGTTACTCGCAATCAATCTTATTGCATAATTATAAATAACTATTGGTATGAAAACATTATTTTAACTCACTTTAAAAGTATCTGAAAAAAGTATCCGGGTACTTGTATCCGAGTACTTTTTAGGTGAAAGTATCCTAAAAAGTATCCGGATACATTGTAAGTATCCGTATCCGGTACTCGGATACTTTTTTGCTGTATCCGACCCAACTCTGTCAGAAGCGATGTACATAATCTTAATATCCGTAGAAGAAATTTTGTATCAATCCCACAACACAAGACTAAAATGTTGAAAGCTCTTTTACTTACGTATTTTACAAAATAATTAACCTTCTCCCCCCTGAACTTAAACACGTATCTGTAAGTGCATTAAAGCGTAAAATAAAATGTTATATATTAAATGGTGGCATGGTAGTATCATTTAACATTTAAAATTTTTTAAAAAATATTTTCATTGATCTTCGCATAAATTGATTAGGTATTGTATTATTATTAGATATTAGATACTATTTAACTGTTAATTAATTTGGGTTTTCTCTCTTTTTGAGAAATTTTTTAATATAATCTTGGTAATTTTCTTTTATACTATTTATATCTGGATATATTGAAAATCATCTTCTTTCATCTTGTATGATTGACGATGAATATGTCCTTTTTGGGAGGTTTTTGTTGTACGAGTATTATTATTTTTTTTTATATTATATTCTTGATATGTTCTACAATATGTGTATTATACTATTGGCTTACTGAATAAACGTTATTAGTACCATTATCATATAATAAAAAAATATCCTATTTGTCATGTATCATTGTTGCTCATCTCCACAATATATTAATCGAACTTGTAATCTTGTAACCCCTTCATCCCTAACGCTTAACTAAGGTTTCTTTAATTGTTTGCTGCACTGTAGTACATGTCTTTAAAGTTTTGAACTTGAACTAATAAATATATTTTAGACATGGACTGATTACAAGTGTAGCCTAAAAAGAAAAGTGACCGAAATAAAAAGAGCACAAGAAGACACAAGCGGGGGGCCAGAAATGAAAAAACAACTAAACAACTTGGAAATGAGAATTTTGTCTGCGCTTGGAAATAATTTTTATGAAAGTTGTGGAATCCAAGAGAGAGACGTAAGTTCATTTAAATACTTCTGTATTAACTAAATTAATTAACCATTTTAAATCTGTGGCTATTTGGCAAAATACCGGGTGTTCAACTTAAAGCGTTACAGCTATATACCGCTTTTTATAAAAAAAAAACTTTTCAGACGAAAGTTTTATAGTTTTGTGGGGAAAAACTTTTGGCTAAAATCGTTTTTTATAGCTAACCATAATATGGCCAACTTTTTTTTCGCGCAGCAACATTTTCAAGTAGCTGTTACTCAAAAAGTAAAAGTCCAATAAAAACATATTTTCCTCAAAAGTTTCTTATTTTTTTATGTACTTTAAGAATATGTAAGAAAAAAATGGGATTCCCATTTAAAAAAACAAAGTCCACCTCGATATGGCCATATTATGGCCAGCTACAAAAAAATGAATTTAGCCAAAATGTTTCCCCCAAAAAACTATAAAACTTTTGTCTGAAACGTTTTTTCTAAAATGCATATTTTCGGCGGTATTTGACTGTAACACTTTAATTTGAACACCCGGTATAATAACTCACTTTTTCGCATTTTACAGGAGAGCCATTTAAAAATTGTGTGTTTTTGGAAAATTGTTTTTTTCTCGATTAGTTTTTTGTTGCAATACCTTTGGTAATAGTTATATGTAACTTTTGTGTGATTATTGAAACGTGATCTTGTTATTTTATCTATTTTTATAGTGTTTTAAGCTCTTATGATTTTGGGGAGTGGGTTAGGTTATTAAACAACTCGTATTACTTTGAAAAAGAATGTTGAGAGCCACTATATTTAAAACTTACTAAACGAATATTTTGGCACGATCCGTGGCATCACGTTTCACAAACACCGATCTGAGAAGAGAAGAATATGCCAAAAAGTCTTCTTTTTGCATCTCAATAACTTTAAATTTTTTTCCCCTCGGACAATTCTGACAAACTGATACCAATCATGGTGGATTTTGATTATTATTATTATTATTATTATTTCCTTTATTTAGCTAGTTTGCTAATATCACAATATACAAATTTAGTTAAAATATACATATAAGTCAAAACATAAATAATTTAGATACAATTAAAACTAACTAAAATTCTATAGGTTGTTACTGTTTCTGGAGAAATATTCATCAATTAAGAAATCTCTCACTCTGACTTTAAATGAAGTTACAGATGTTACTGATTTAATTTTCTCTGGAAGTGCGTTATATGGATTTAGACCTTTAAAAAATAGTGAATTTTGTGTTGCACTCTTAACAACTGTTTCAATATAAAAGTTATTTCTGTTCCGCGTTGGATAATTGTGCACATTAGAGTGATAATTAAGCTTCTCTTTTAGGTACATTGGAAGTAACCCGTGTTTGATTTTATAAATAAAAATTAACGCATTCCGTAATAAGAGACTTTTGATTGGCATCCACCTCAAAGTTTCAAGCATTAGATTAATGGAAGTATATTTTGAACAGGATAATATTATTCGCATAGCCCTATTCTGCAGCTTCTGTAGTCGGTTCAACTCATTTTGATTTAGTAAAAAGAGTATTGTAGAGCAATAATTACAGTGAGGTAGAATTGTAGTATTATCCACTGTGATAAGCCAAATGAACTTTTAAATAGGAAATTCAACTTAAATGCAATAGTTTTGATAACAGTGTTGGCATGATCTATGAATGTCATCTGCTTGTCAATCATTACCCCTAAGTATTTGAATTTTTCTACTAACTGTATAGAATTTCCTCCAGTTGTTATATTGTTTATCAACAAAATGTATATAGTTATAGTTGCTACTTATCAGCATATATTTTGTTTTATTTGTGTTAATTTTCAACAAATTATTGCAACACCATTTATAAACATGTTGCAGTGTTTCATTAACAACTCTTACCAAGTTATCTGAATCCTTACAAGAAAAATATATTAGGGCATCATCAGCAAACAGGTGAATGTCACATTGATTCTTGAAATCAACAATGTCATTGATATACACTAAAAACAACAGGGGGCCCAATATACTTCCCTGCGGAACACCTCTGATATAGTTAATTTCCTCTAACAAAATGTTATTTACTTTTAACTTTTGTTTCCTCTTACATAGATAATCCACACATCACTCCAATACATATAATTTTTTTATCAAACGGTTTTGATCAACATTCTCGAATGCCCTTTGAAGATCTATAAAAACTGTCAATGTTATATAGTTTTTATCAAATTTATATTTCCAATCATATAAAACACACTGGATAGCTGATGCACAGTTATGTTTGCTTCTGAAGCCCGATTGTATTCTAATAATAAGTTTATTTTGTTCTAAAAAATTAACAATTTGTTCATAAACGACCTTCTCAATGATTTTTTCGATACAACTTAACATACTAATAGGCCTTAAATCTGTAGCTTTATTTACGTTTTTTGTCTTTGGAACAGGCACTACCATAGCAACTGTTAGAGCATTAGGTATTTTTGAAATTTCTAATGACGAATTTATCAAATTTAAAAGTGGTTCTGAGAGGTTCGGAAAACAGTTTTTTAAAATATTAATGTTAATGTCATCTATGCTACTTTATTTTTCATTGCAAAAAGAATGTCTCTTAAAGAATCCACCGTACATAGTTGAAATTTCTCAAGAAAATGTCCATTGTGTCTGTCTAAAATTTGATAATCTGGTATTGTTTGATCAACCATACTAGCAATCGATTGGGTACTGTCTATGTAAAATTTATTAAGAGCATTTGGAATTTCAAAAATATTTTTTTTTATTGGTACCCTATTTTACTTATTTAAAGTACGCCTCAGCGTGTTTAAAACCATGACAACATCAACAACCCGAGAAACGTGATGTCTAAATGCCAACTTTTTAAATATTGATCTGACAGGAGTGCCTTGGGGTCAACTTTCGTTTAGCCGAAATCAGTTACGTAAAAATTGTTGCCATGGCAACCGTTGCCATGGTAACCAGTAAACAAAAACCCAAATCTCGTGGTGAGGAAATGCATAGTTGTCAAGTTATAGATTATTTAATGTTCACTTTAGTTTAGACGAAATCAGTTATGGTAAAACTGTTGCCATGGGAACGCTTGACATAGTAACGACTAAACAAAAAGCCAAATCCCATAGTGAGGAAATGCGTGGTTGCCAAGTTACAGATGATTTAATTTAGCTGTAATCAGTTACGGAGAAACTCTTGCCATAGAGACACTTGTCATGGTAACGACTAAACAAAAACCCAAATCCTGTGGTAAGAAAATGCATAGTTGGCAAGTTACAGGTCATTTAATTTTCACTTTAGTTTAGCTGAAATCGGTTATGGAGATGTCGTGATGTCGACTAAATAAAAACCTAAATCTAGTGGTGAAGAAATGCGTAGTTGCCCCTTATATTTAGATTAACTCTTAACACAATATCCTTATCTAAACTAAAGTGAAAATGAAACCATCTATAACTTGGCAACTAGGCATTTTCTCACTACGGGATTTGTTTAGTCATTAGCATGACAAACGTTTCCATGGCAACAGTTTCTCTATAAGATCACGCTACGCTCTTCCCACCCACAACCTAACTATTACAGAGGAAAGCGAGCGCGCCTGGCCGACGTCTCGAAATTCGCGCGAGCGAATTTCGAAACGTCGGCCAGGCGCGCTCTTTTTCCACCTACATCGTAAGATCACGCTACGCTCCTCCCACCCACCTATTATCTACTACAGAGGAAAGCGAGCGCGCCCGGCCGACGTTTCGCGCGAATTTCGAAACGTTCTTTTTCCACCTACATCATAAGATCACGCTACGCTCGTTCCACCCACCTACTAACCACTACTTGGCAACTACGCATTTCCTCACCACGAGATTTGGGTTTTTGTTTAGTCGTTAGCGTAATAAGCGTTTCCATGGCAACAGTTTCTCCATAACAGATTTCGGCTAAACTAAAGTAAACATTAAATAATCTATAACTTGGCAACTACGCATTTCCTCACTGCCGGATTTGGATTTTTGTTTAGTCCTTAACATGACAAGCGTTTCCATGAAAACAGTTTTTCCGTAACTGATTTCGGCTAAACTAAAGTGAACATTACATGGTCTATAACTTTTCAACTATGCATTTTCCCACCACGGGATTTGGGTTTTTGTTTAGTCGGTAACATGACAAGCGTGCCCATGGCAACATTTTTTGCATAACTTGTTTCAGTTAAATGAAATTAAACAAAAACCGTAATCATCTACAACTTGGCAACTACGCATTTCCTCACCATAAAATTAGGGTTTTGTTTACTCATAGCCATCACAATTGTTTTTGCATAACAGATTTCGGCTAAACGAAAGTTGAGCCACGTAATGACCGGTGCATCTGTAAAAAACTTCTGCAAATCGTCATTCTCGAATACATATGCCTTCTTGACTACCTCATTTTTGCTAATTGCCTTCATGAATGCATGCACTTTGACGAACGATTTTATATCGACCCCTTTGTTTATCCTCAACATTGTAATTTTGAATGGATAGTCCACATAGTCGATACTTTATACTGTTCCGACATTTTCTGGAGATAAGCGAGAACAACTCGTTCATCTATATGTGTAACCATTTGCTCTTCTATCCACGTGTTGAATTTATAGTATTCTTTTTTATAAACCGCTTCGGATTTTTGTGGTATTAAGCGCGATTCTGCTTTATTATTTAAATACTCAATATTTGAACTCATTTTAAACAATAACAACTATTGCGACAATTAATCTTACGTGACAGATTGAAATAGTTATTTTCCTAACAAGTGCGGAAAGTGTTACTTTCCCGCACGCGACTGCAGTTGGCCCGAACGGTCAAGTGCGGGAAAGACACTTTACACGCATGAGTTAGGAACATTATTTTTTCTACGACCGTATATACAAAAAGTAGTAAAAATTATTTTTGGAAAATTATTTTATTTCAACATATACAAATCTTTAAATAAAAACAACTAATTATTATGGATATTAATGTTAAATACACAATTTGTAGCATTTTGTAAATTATGTAAAAT